GGAAGCCCGCTCTTTCGTCTCCTCTCTCTCTCTCTCTCTCTCTCTCTCTCTCTCTCTCTCTCTCTCTCTCTCTCTCTCTCTCTCTCTCTCTGTGTCTGTGTGTGTGTTCGGTATTCCCATTTGCCCGCGAACTGCTTTTCTCTCTCACCGTCCCTTCCCTCGCTCTCTGTCTCTGTCTCTTCCAGACATTTACAGTATTTTTGTTTTTCTATTGGCCTTTCTCATTCGAAAAAGAAACATCTACGAAACAGAGTTACGACAAAAAACCGTCCAGATCAGTCTCCCACTCCGACGCTGCATAGCCTGCCGAATAGCCCTGCACCCGCGATGGCAGGTAGTTCACCAACCCCGCGTTTATTCACACGCTTTTTCTMCCCCCGACTCTCTCTCTCTCTCTCTCTTACACACACACACACACACACACACAGATCTCCATCGCTTTACCTGCTCTTTTTTTTCCTTTGCTCGGTGATTTCCCCTTTCTAATTAATCGACTCGATTGGTCTCCGGCTCCGATATCTGACTTGCCTGCCTTGTAGCCCTGCCCTTCCTCCTCCTCCTCCTCCTCCTCCTCGTATCTGTTTTCCTCTTCAACCCTGCCTTCCTTCGTTCTCTTTGTCCTCTTACTCCTAATTTCTACGTGGAAGGTAATGCCATGTGGCACAACGGCCGTCTCCCCCTTCTTTGCCTTTACTTTCTCTCGCTCTTCGTCTTCGCCTGTTCTGTATCCCCCCCCCCCCCTACTGCATCTTCCGTCCTTCTCCTCCGCCTCCTCCTCTTTCTCCTTCCTCCTTCCTCCTTCCTCCTCTTCATTCTCCAGCGTGCCTACCGCGTCGCAAAGACGACCGCTCCTTTACTCCTTTTCCGTTTCTCTCTTTTTTTTGGACCTCTCCGTTCCTCCCTTGGTCAATCAGATCCGGAAGGGGGGCGGCTCTCAAACTCCATCCCGACCTGCCTGTGACGTGGCAGAGCAGCCCGTCGTGGAGGGGAGGGGAGAAAAATGGAAGTCTCGACGAGAGTTCAAACTCAATCCCGACTTGCCTGCCACGTGGCGATGCGTAGGGAGGCACTGCTTGCCTGCTCTCATTCTTTGCGCTTCTTTTCTGCTTCTTCTCCCAACCCCCCGTGCTCCGACCCGAACGACGTGGCTGCAAGTTCTCAACCGTCAACCCCTTCCCCCCCCCCCCCCGCCCCTCCCCTCCTTTCCCCCCTTTTCTTCCTCTTCTTCTCTTTCTCTTCTCCTTCCTTGTCCTTCTCCTACTCCTGTTCCTTTCCTCCTGATATCGACGTGTCTGCCACGTCTCATTTTATTCCAGGGGTTTCATAACTGTAACGGTTTCCTCCTCCTCCTCCTCCTCCCTCCTCCTCTCCCTCCTCTCCCTCCTCTCCCTCCTCCTCTCCCTCCTTTCCCTCCTCCTCATGTCCCTCCTCTCCCTCCTCCGCCTCGTATCCCTCCTCTCCCTCCTCCTCCTATCCCTCCTCTCCCTCCTCCTCCTATCCCTCCTCTCCCTCCTCCTCCTCATATCCCTCCTCTCCCTCCTCCTCCTCATATCCCTCCTCTCCCTCCTCCTCCTCATGTCCCTCCTCTCCCTCCTCCTCATATCCCTCCTCTCCCTCCTCCTCCTCATATCCCTCCTCTCCCTCCTGCTGTCCCGTGCCTGCCAGCAATGCGAAAGGTCTCATGCGTCCCACGTGGCAGGCACGTCCACGTCGATTTTCCTGATCGGATATCGAGGTGTCTGCCACGTGGCATTCACGAAACTCCAGCTTTATCACATCCGTCTGTCGGGTCTGTTGTAAATCCATCTCATCTATGAAATCCGGAAATCCCGTCGTGCCTTTCGCGTCGGTCTTCCACCCCTCATCCCTTTGTTTCTTCTCTTTTTCCTGCCCCCTAACTCCGATCTCGGCGCGTCTGCCACGTGGCAGAATGTTGCTCCGCTCCTGCCCCCCC